AAGGAGCTCGTACAGATATTTAGCTAATCTTGGAACGATTTGCGGACCGCAGCCCGCGCGGATCGCGGAGCGGGTTGCGACGGCGACGACGACAGCGATGACAGCGACGGACGACGATGGAGGCGACGGCGACGGCGGCGTCGATGACGATGGCGACGTCAATGACGGCGACGGCGACAGCGACGGCGGCGGCGGTGACGGCGACAACGACGGTATCGGCGACGCCGAGGACCTGTGGTCACAACGCGCAAGGGGCGAAACGTCGGAACCCGGAAGAGCGGCCCAGTAAGATTCTAGCAGGCGTTTTCCCCCCCTTCGCCCCCGCTCCCAGCCCTCTCCACCGACAGTCGCCGGAGACCTCACTTCCACGACAGGAGGCGAAACCGCCGCACAGTACACAAAACATATCACGAGCGTCAGACTCCAGCTCTTTAGCCCAATGAAGCTTATCCCCAGGGCCCAAGGCAACCTGCAGGATCCGCGAAAGGGTGAGCCCTCACTAGGGTTGGTGGGAGGTCTGCCTGACAACACGAAGGCACCTGGTGCGCCTCAGGACATTGCTATTGTGCACAGGTGCATGGAGACTCTTAGGGGCACGGACCCTCGGGGCTCGAGGAGGCCTCTTAAGAAATTCAAGTTGCAATCTGGTAAACGGAAAACATGAAAGCACAGGCAGCATTCCAGAAACCAGCAATTGATACTCTTCGCCTACATTCTTAAGTCCCGAGACTCAGCTTCATAAGGGTTATGGAATAGAGCCCCCTTGCTCAGCCCACCAGTCTACGGCATTGGAACCAGCGACGAAGGCACGGGAACGATCATCGAAGGTTTGGTCTATGGACTGGTGGGCTTTAACTTTACACAGGGTGGCTCAATGAGATTCACCTATGCGCCGACTCGTTTCCTTCCAGAAAACAGGAAAACCAAGAGGCCCCATTCAAGGCCTTCGGGGGGGAAGCCCAGCAAACAAATCTAGGCAATCAAAAGCTATAGAAGTCTGGGTGACATTGTGCTCCATACAGCTCTCGCCAAAGTACGGTGAGTGCAAGGGAACCGCGCTCGGCCACCCCAGATTTTTGTCGAAGTTCAGAAGGCAATGGGGAGATACTCCACGAACGATGTTCTGTCCTGGCATCAGCGCACAGGCGATCTCTGCGCGAGAAACTTCCTCCCACCCACCACTGCAGCAGGAACCGTCAACAAAGACTTCATCATCTACTCCAAAGAAGATGGGGTCCGTCCGATGACCATCGACTTTGAAAAAGCGCAGGTCCCAGTCAGGACTAGGGGTTGGAAGCTCCAGAGGATCCGCGCACAAACGGGGAAGCATCAGATATTCAGGGGCAGCTGACAAGATTAGCTGGAGCACTTCGTGGCCGAAATGCTCGTTGCTTTCGGCCAGAGGCTCTTCATGCTGGCCGAGCCAAGCTCGGTGCCCCATGGCCGCTTTCGCTGGCCGCGCCCTGCTCGCAAAGTGTCGGCGTGGCCTCCCGAGGCCCCCCTCTCCTTTGGGCGGCGAGGGCGGGGGGGAGCTTCTGGAACGCGAACGGGAAGGGCCCGTCTGGCCTCCGAGGGGCAGAAAAAAAAGGGGGTGGGTGCTTCCGGCAGGGGAGGTCCGAGGGGGGCGGGGGTAGCTAAGGGGGGACCGCCCCCCTTTTTGGGAGCGTGCCACGGGCGCGCTCCGTCGGATCGTGCGTCCCTGTGAGACGGGCTGAATGCACGCACAGCCGAGGACGGCCATGGGCGAGGCCGCCGGGGCACCCTTGGGGAGCTGGGATCCCCCAGCTCCCCGGCTCCCCAGGCATGCCCCGGTGAGGGGGCGCCCTGTCCGCTCCGCCCCCTCGAGGGGGCGGAGCGGACAGGGCCGGGGGCGCGGCAGCGAGGAGGCGGGCTGCGGGCGGCGGCGGCGCACGGCAGGGGCCGCGGCAGGGACGCCCACAAGTATTCTCCGAGGAGGAGAGGACACCCACACCTCTACCCTTCGCCCGTTTCCCCCTTTTTGGGCCTCCAGGGAGGCCCTCGACGCCACCGCTGGATGCGCCTCGAAATCCTGGTCGGAACGCATCCCGGGAGAGGTCCGGGGAGTAGCGGTATCGGTGCCGTTTGGTGTCCCCTCTTTCGAAAGCTCCCCCCCCCTTACCCTCGAGTCTACGGTCGGGAACTTCTGCTTGTCACGGCGGCCCCGGCGACATGCTGCGCCCTGCGAGCGGATGGCGTGTGGCTCCGCCCCGCGGAGCGAGAGGCTCGGGAGAGCCCAGGACGTGGACGCCTGGGGCCCGAGAAGTGGAAAGCGTGTCGCACCGGCACCGAGACATGGTGGGCCAGAATCGGCTACGCCTAAGAGTGACCTTTCGCCGGAGTGTCCTTTGGTGCGGGCCCAACGGGACCCCTCGATCGCTGAATGCGATACGAGAGCAGCCTGGCGTGCCCAGGGTCACTCTTGCGTGTAGCCGACAGAACGTTTGGGGTGAAAGCCCAGAAGAAGGAGGGAAGGAAAACGAAAGGGAGAGCGTGCGTGAGGGCAGAAGAACGGGAGGGGGGGAAAGAAGAAGAGACGAGGTTTTTGAAGTCCAGAACTCTTGCGGGTGCAGGCCTAACGCAAAACCACATCAAGCCAGGCGGTAGGTCCCAAAGCCGATTTGCAGTTGCTTGCGGCCAGATTATGCACGTGATGATTTTCAATGAGATGGCTTCTCATTGTTTTCCGCTCGTGGAAACTGCTCCACTAACCTTGCCGTCCTTTTCGATACCGCACCTCTAGCTACATACTCCGTCCAGGGCCTTCTCCTCCAGTTTCTCGTCCGTTCTGCTCTCCTGGATCTCAATAAGTGCCATCATGCAGCTCGATTATGTTTGCCGGAATTTCTGAACAAATCGGCGAGCTTGATTCTTGATGTCCTTGGAACAGAAGAGCTCGGGGGGGATTTCCTTGACCTGGGAAAAATCCTAAAAGCTCTCTGTGACTTCGGTAGCGCCCGAGGAGGAGGAGGAGGAGGAGGAGGAGGAGGAAGAGGAGGAAGAGGAGGAAGAGGAGGAAGAGGAGGAGGAGGAGGAGGAGGAGGAGGCGAAGGAGGATAAGGGAGGCGACGACGACGAGGCGCCCCTTCGGAATTCAATGAATTCTTCACGCTTCGCGTATCCCCACCAGCCCATCTCAAAACAGCAACTCTTGCGAAGCATGCCGACAGTCGTGTTTTTCAGGCGTGTTTCCGCCTGCCCCCGCATATCTCCGGGGCTCTCGTCCTGGTGTGAGTCGTTCGGGCCCTTCTTCCTGGTGTGAGTCGTTCGGGCTCTTCGTCGTGGTTTGAGTCGTTCGGGCTCTTCGTCCTGGCGTGAGTCGTTCGGGCTTCTCGTGGTGTGAGTTGTTCGGGCCCTTCGTCCTGGTGTGAGTCGTTCGGGCCCCTCCTCCTGGTGTGAGTCGTTCGGGCTCCTCGTGGTGTGAGTCGTTCGGGGCCCTCGTCCTGGTGTGAGTCGTTCGGGCTCCTCGTGGTGTGAGTCGTTCGGGCCCTCGTCCTGGTGTGAGTCGTTCGGGCTCCTCGTGGTGTGAGTCGTTCGGGCCTCGTCCTGTGTGAGTCGTTCGGTGGTGTGAGTCGTTCGGGCCCCGTCGTCCTGGTGTGAGTCGTTCGGGCTCCTCGTGGGGCCTCTTGGGGGCCTCTTGGAGCCTCTTGGGGCCTCTTGGGGGCCTCTTGGGGCCTCTTGGGGGCCTCTTGGGGGCCTCTTGGGGGCTTCTTGGGGGCCTCTTGGGGCCTCTTGGGGGCCTCTTGGGGGCATCTTGGAGGCCTCTTGGGAGCCTCCTGGGGGCCTCTTGGGGCCATCTTGGGGCCTCTGGCGACCTCCTCAGAAGCGCACAGGAGCGCTGCCCCCTGAAAAGGACAAAATGAGGGCAAAACCTTCGTAAAATCAGCGATTTTGCTATGGAGGAAGAGAAGCGCGGCCCCCTCAGGAGGCCAAAATGGGGCCAAAACCGTAGTAAAATCAATGATTTTGGCTTCAAAGAAGAGCAGAGGGGCCAAACTCGCCCCCCCCGTCGGGGCCAGAATCCTCGTGAGGGTCGTCGTTTTTTGGCCCTCCCAGGAGTCGAAAAAGACCCCCTTGAGAGCACCCGGGACTCCCTGTCCAGGCCCAGGGGGAGGGGGCAGGGGGAGGGGTAAACCCCTCCCCGAAGGGGAAGAAGGGGGGTTGAGAACAGAGCGGGCTCTCTAAACCACTCACGCCCAAAGGGCTGGTGGGATTATGCCTGCGTGCTGCGGGCAAGGGTGGGGCTCGATAACCCCTTCCCGCGGTTAATGGTGAAGGTGTCTGAAAGGATTGCTTGCAATCGCAATAGTTTTCACATTGGCTCACCACTCCCAAGGCCCATATCCCTTCAAAGAGCACCAGGTCCCCAGCGGATCCCCAGCGGATGCCCGCCCGGATTTCCAGCCCTCGGTGCCCGAGGCAGATTTCAGAATTCCTTTGTGGGACCCTCCTGAATGTCCGCGGGGGCCCCTGCGCTGGCTTCTGTGGGCCCGATCATTCGCCCATTGCCCGCGACTTGCCGCCGAGATCCCCCCTCGGTGCTGGTTGGTCCGGATTCCCAAGCCTCGCAGTTACTTTACTGTTTGACTTGGCCTCTTAGCTGCCGCCGCGGTCTTCTGGGGTGCACTGAAGGGCGCGCGGTTCTTCGCCCCCCCCCCCCCCCTCGCGTCTGTTGGCCCCGAAGGCTCGATTTGAACGGTGTTGTGGCGATGTCGTGGACCGTTTTGGTTTTGATTCCGTGTTGCAGCAATGGGCGAACGAAGACACACCGAGGGAAAACGGAAACAACACGGAAACGAAAAGCACCACTTATGTCGAGATTTGTTAGCGAAAATCCCCAGGTGTCCTCCGTGCCGGCCGTGGCCGCAGCGGCCGCTCTCGCCGCCGCTCGCGCCAGGCGGCGTGATCGCCGCGGGGAGCGCCGCGGCGGCGCCTGTCAACCCGTCGCCCTCCGCGCGACCGCCGTGGCCGAGAAGTCCGAGGCCAGGATTTGATGCAGTCAAGCCGCATCACAAGGATGGGTACAGCCGGCCCTGATTCGTAGGTCGGCCCTGCCAAAACCAGGGGTACCCTTGTGCCCTGTGTCTCGCGGCTCATGCCCCCTACGTTCCAATGTATGGCAATGTGTAGGGGAACAAACACCGACATAAGCATAAAACCTCTGAGGTCCGAGCGGATTTCTCGGATCAGCGCTGGACGCCCCTCCCTGGCGTGCGGAGCGCGCCAGGGGCGGCGCTGGAGGCGCCGTCAGGGGGCCCCAGCGCCGATCCGAGGAATCCGCGCGGACCCCCGAGTTGTTATTTTATGCCGTTGCGAGTTCCCCTAATGCGGCCCTCGGAAGGTTCTTTTGTCCTCTCGCGTGCCCTGTCCAATCAAATCCGATTGTAGCTTTCCAAATGGATGTGCCTTTGCATCCTTGCCTCTCGGCCCTTCAAGCCGTGGACCACAGGCTTCAATCAAGTCCCACTGTAGCTTTCAAAGGGGCCTGTCCTGTCCTGTCCAATCAAGTCCGACGGTAGCTTTCCGAGGGGTGAGCCCTTGCATTCATGCCCCACGGCCCTTCTGGCCGTGGGCCGCGGGCTTGCAGCTTCGGCTTGAGCTCGGGTGCATGGCACTTTCATCCTTCCACGCCGGTCGTTGAACGTATTGTGAATGGGATATTTCTCAAAGGGAGGGTTGATTCACCTCCCGATGGCAAGCAGGCGCCCCAGCGCATCATCAACGCGGCCAAGAAGGCCGATGCAGCTGCACGCGCAGGTGATGCACCGTCAAAGCGAGCAGGAGGTAGCGGGCTCACTGAGAAGCCTGCTCCGTGGTGCTCAAAGTTCAAGCTCATGGAAGCCGAGCTCGCGAAGTTGCGGAATCTCGTCGGCAAGGGTGGCCCCACACCATCGCTTCGAGCGGAAGGCGACCAGCACCAGGCCACGGAAGAGAAGAGCGAGAAGGACCCCAGCTTCGCCAAGAGGACGGCGCTGCAGGAGAAGATCAACTACCATGAGCGTGCCATCAAGGAAGCTGTCAAATACGAAGAGCAGGACGGTGCGGCCCACGCGTACCACAAGGCAGAGATTGACAAGCTCAGGGAGCAGATCCGCGACCTGCGGCCCCCAGCAACGGCGTACAAGCTGGCATCGCAGAAGCTGGAGCGCAGCAGAATGCAGCTTGACAAGCTCACGAAGGATCATGAGGAGATGCTGCTGCAGCTACAAGGACTGCAGGAGAAGATATCGGAAAAGTCGGCATCGATCGAGGCGAAGAAAGTCGAGGTCGAGCAGTTCAAAGCGGAGGCAGAGCGTCATCAGCGGCAAGTGCAAGTTGCCCGAGGTGAAGCTTCCGACGACGCTGGCCCGACCATCCCCGAGGATATCATGGCGCTCGACGTCAACCTCACGGACTTCCAGGAGGATCCAGGACTGCTGCAGTTATATCACCAGTGCCGTGCGGACGCCAATTTCCAGAAGCTACAAAAGTTGGTGCAGAAGAAGCTGGAGGTATCCATCCCCAAGTCTCCTGCGCCAAGGAACGGGACGCAAGTTCCTGTTGGCCCTGATTCTGATGACGGTCTTGATGGGTCAAGTAGCGGAGGCGAAGGCAACAACAATGGCGAGTCCTCCAAGCGTGGCAACGGCATCCAGTGGACCACGGAGGACGTCGAAGCTCTTCATACCAAGCTATGCAAGGGAGAGCACGGCAACGACATCTCCATGGACCAGCTATCCGACATGGTGGCCGATATCCAGAAAACCAAGTTTCGTAAGACAGATGAAGTGTCCGCAGTACCAACAGGAGGGTGTAAATCCTAGCACCCTGCCGCGCGTAAGTGGGCTGCTCGTACGTCGTGGAAAGACATGTGCTGTCCCTGCGCCTGTATCCATGGTAAGCGAGCACTTGTTCGAGACCTTCAATGCCAGTCAAGGGAAGCGGACGCTTAAGCTTCGATTGGAGAGGACTAGCGCGCTGGTTGTGCTAGCGCAAGAAATAGGACACTTGGATTGGGAATGCGAAGCCCTCAGTACATGGGCTAGCTCCCGCAAGTGGCAGATGATGGTCATTCCTGGGAAGCCTACAGATGGACATCCCCCGTCAGGCGGATTGGCTATTTTCGCAAGGGAAGGCGCGGGGTTACGAGGCCCTGAGTATCCTGCATCTACGGCGGCTCCAAGACAAAGCGAGACGAATGAGCAGATTGCCTTCGGGTCTGAGCTGGTAGCCCATCGAGCGCAGCACGTGCTCGTGGAATTGGAAGGATGGCCGCCACTCAACGTCTTCAACATTTACCTGCACACGGCCGAGGGTATGACGACGAGGAATGCCAGGATCCTCATGATCGTAGGGCTCGCGATGGCAGGACAACAGTACCCATGTCTGGTAGGGGGCGACTGGAACATGTCAATCGAAGAGGTTGAGGCATCGGGTTTCCCAGTACACGCACAAGTCGGCCTTGTCAGCCCAGGCCAGGTTGCATGCAGGGGACCTGCCAGTGCCACAACAATCGATTTCTTCGCCTTGAGCTCTGGAACAATGCGGCTGATGAGGAAATGCCACGTAGACAAGACATGGCATAAGAAGCCGCACCGCCCTGTCCAGTTATCGCGTTGTGGCCATTGTACGACAATGCAATACCTTACATATGTTGGAGGGACAAAGATTGCAGCCGACAAAGTTGTGGGTCCTTTATGGCACGACGCCGACTGGGAGTTCGAGCGAAGCTATGCTGCAGAAGCGTCTCGTCAAGCAGCGTTTGCCCCAGTCGCAGTTGCGTGGAAGGTGCTATCACGAGCGTGGGGTCTTTGGGCGTGCAAGGCTGCAATAAGGCTTGGACACATCACGGGTACGCCCGTCAAGGCACCAGAGAAGTTCAAGGGCATGATCCGACCCAAGTGGATTTCATATGCATACGAAGGCCAAGACGCTGAAGGTATCCAGGCAGTTGCTGATGGCTGGCAATGTTTCGCCGATGCAGTCAAAGGGATTGCAGTACTTAAGAGCGGCCGTGGCCAAGAGCAAGCAAGACAACTCGCTGATGAAGTCCAAGGATTCCTGGAGACCGATTACGTGGGCCAAAATACCAATCATCGTCTCGACGCTTCGGCCACACGAGCTAGACGGTTGATTAGTCATGCCTCAACATCCAGTGAAGATTTACACGAATTTCTTGCAGAATGCGAAGAAGATATGGAGTATGCGAAGCAGCAGGCGGACCGAGACAGCTCCGCTCGCTGGAAGGACTGGTGCGATATTGCATGTGCGGGAGGCGCTGGACGTCTGCATCGCGTCACCAAACTCAACAGTGTGCAGGCGCCAACGGTAGTGTGCAAGACCACCATGGATGGCACGAGCGGGCACCCTCACCAGATAGTGTTGGACATGGAAGCCAAGCACCACAAACTCTGGAAGGCGACTGAGGAGGCACCGCACGTTTGGGTACCTGATCGAAGCACAATGGATAGACCAAGTCCAGGTATGATCAGAGCAGCATCAAAGGCTTTCACCACGAAGACATCGAGCAGCCTGGACGGCATCCACCCCTCACACTTCCAGCACTTGAGCGACGAAGCCTTGGAGTGCCTCTGCGAGATCTTCCAGGCGGTGGAAGCGATCGGTGTATTTCCCATTCAACTTACGTGGATGGTGATGCCAATGTTGCCCAAAGCTGCTGGAGGACACAGGTTGATTATTCTGTACTCGGCGGCCTACAGAGTATGGCAGAAGATGAGGCGGCCTGGCCTCGACATCATCCAGCAGAGATTGGACCGCCCCTATTGGGGGGCGGTCTCGGGGAGAAGCGCAGTGGACAGTGGTTGGACCCTCGCTGCGGACAACGAGCAGAACGTTTGTCAGGACAGGTTCGTGGTCACGGTGGTCGCATACTACAGCAAGTACTACGAGACGATTGGGTTGGACCAGGCGCGCGATAAGTTGATGCGACTTGGCATGCCAGTGCCGATGATCAAGGTGGTCTACAATCAATGGAAGGGGCCGAGGATAATACGGCTGAGACTCCACCACGGGGGAGCCCCAAGGCATGCGAATGCTGGGCTGCCAGCTGGGGATGCGTATGCAGACGTGGTGATAAAGGCTCACGCGGTCGAACAGTACGACATGTACACGACCTTGTATCCGCTTGTGCGCTTCGCCTCCTACATCGACGACACAGCCCTCGGAGTCAACGGCAGCTGCAAGAAGATGGTGATCGACCAGGCAGTGCATGCTACGAAAGGGTTCTTCCAGGTGGCACGTGCATTAGGGGCCAGCATCAACGGGAAGCTTGCTGTCACCTCGAGCTCCAAGGCCATAAGTGATGAAGTCAGTCGTCGGCTACACCTTGATATGAAGATAAGCTTGAAGAGTACGGCGTATTTGGGCACTGATGTTTCTGGTGGCAGGGCTCGGAATGCCAACGGCACGCGTGGCAAGTTTCGTGCAAGACAGAAGGTGTATGGTGGAAGGCTGCGGAAGCTACGGAAGTTCAAAAAGGCGCTCGCTGCTAAAAAGACGGAGAGAATCGGGAAGATCTACCGTGTGGGTGCAAGGCCTGCGTATACCTTCGGGGTGGAGGTCAACGGGGTCAATGACGTGGAGCTCCTGAAGTTAAGACGGGACTACAACAAGCACGTCAAGCCCAACCACGGCGGCACCTCCGCAAGCGCGAAGCTCGTGCTGTTAGGCGACCCTGCTGCCACGCAAGCGCTGGCGCCCGCTCTCCAATGGTCAAGGATGGTATGGGCCGCCACAGCCAGGCCTGATACCGCAGCTGTTCCGCTGGCACTGCTGGAAGCATGGTGGAGAAGGGCAGTCACCGAACCTGGAGTGGTAAAACAGTGGAGTAAAACACGAGGCCCCCTTCAACGCGCAGCACTCTCAGTACAACGAGCTGGATGGCAAACGCGTACAGGGCTACTCTGGATCAACCATCGAGGCGATGAGGTGCACGTAGGGCAACTCACTCCTGGCCTTCTGGAAATGATGCTGAGGCAAGGTC